ACTGCATGGCTGCCAGGTTGTGGGCAGAAGGCACGATATCATGCATGCAGTATGGCATTATCATGCCAGATCTGTTTCCTCCTCACTTATAGCTCAGCTAGACCTGGGTCTGGCTTGGAAGCTAGGGGTAAATCTGAAAATTTTACTTACTCCTTGGAATAAAACCTTAGCCTTTCTCAGCCTTTAAATGTCACAGGTACTTTCCATCATTTGCCATTGAGCGTGGTTTATGCATGTATTATAAAGACCTCTCCTTGCTAAGTATACCGGGGAGAAAACATGTATTTGAAAGCATTGGAATTAGACTCAAACAGTCCTCCTTGTTATTTCTATTCGACCACCAGATTTTTTACTTGGACTTTAACTTCACTAAAAGTCATTCTTCCTCCCCACATGAATGAGGCTGATAATTCAAAGTTGTGTTTTTGGAGTTTAAATGAAATAATGCATATAAAGTTCTCAGCCTAGTGCCTAGAACATTGTAGGAATTCAAGCCACAATAACTTAACTGTCCAGGAGAGTTCCTAGTTTTTCTCTTTTTTTAGCTTTGGCTCCAAAATACCTGTTCTCATAAGTAAGTGAATTTAGGGCAGAGGTAACTATTATCAACTCAACATTCATTGAATCAGGCAGGGTTCAAAGAAAAGCCCATTCCAAATGCATGTTATACTTATATGAGATTTCATAACCATCTTTTGAGCAATTTTTGGCCCACTTCCTAACTCATAGCAGAACATCGGGCATGAAGTATAGAGGTTAAAGACCTTTTGTACATATATTTGACTCACTGGAATCTAAGTATTTAGAAATAATTAACAGAAACCGACTTCATATTCTGAACCTGGGACTACCGATCTTTCTCATGCTACTCGTGGAAAAGTAACTTCCCTCCCCTCCCTGCCTTCGTCTTTCTCTGACAGAATCTGGCTTTGGATGTGTCTGTGTCAAGAAGATTGTGCAAAGCTAATTTAAAAACCAACTATAAGATAGATTAATAGGTTTGGATAAAGCTATGCCATTTGTCAGGTTTAAATTAAAAGCAATTATTTCTCTGGGAGAACAGATTCTTTCTCTTTGTGGCTGTAGTGCACAGTAGACTGGCCTCCACCAAGAGCTACTGAGGGTAACTATGAAGCCAAGGCAAATGCCTTCAAATTCTTTGTCTTCTCAAAGACTAACTGGGAGGTAGAAGCCCCAGGTGGCAAGGCCTGACGTGAAACTGCAGTTTCCTCGCTAGGGTATTTGTGTTCACCACTCTGCCCAACTCTTCCCTAACAGGTAAACTTTCTGAACATTGTTATGCATTGAGCCATGATGACATATAGCTTATTCACTTCCCAGAGGGGAAAGGCTTTATTTTGCTTTTACTTTGCCAGAGTGGCTAACAACCGCCTTGGGATTTTCTTTCTTTTAGAACTGATTTATTTGGATCTAAGCTATTTTCCTGGATGCTGCTAAGGGCTCAAATATACTAGAGAAATGACTCAATACCTAAGTGAATGGTAACTGTTTGTAAGCATTAACATAATCAAGGCTGATGGTCATACTTTAGCTTCTGTTTTATCTGTTTGACACTCCTCCCTGGCCTATATAAACCTGTGGGAAATTCTTCATAGTTTCTCTTGTGAGGCCTAAAGTGTGGCTTTTTAATTGTATCTAGTTCCTTTTAAATTCTGCATATTATGTAAGTTGTGGTAAGAAAAAGAACTCTGATGGCAGTGTAGGCTAAGCATTGAAGTGCTACCCTAAAGATTGATGGTTCAAATCTACCAGCTGCAGCTCTAGAGAAAGAGGAAGCCATCTGTCCCTGTAAAGATTCAGCCTCAGAAAACCTCTTGAGTCAGTTCTGCTCTTTCTCACAGGGTGTCTCTGAATTGGAATCAACTCAGTGGCAATGGGTTCAGTTTGGTTTGGTTGAGAAGTAAGAAAAATACTAGGAAATTCATTTATCACAGAATCTTACTTATTTTGGTTGAAGGGAAAAGGCCAAGAATGAATTAGACTGTAAAGCATTAATATGTCTCCAAGCCGTCCACTGGGGAAATGTTCTTGCACACTGAAGGCAAATTGCAATGACAACTTTAAATCATCACCTGTGAAGGAAACTCTGTGTCAGTAATGGATTTGGTTCCTTTATCATTGCATAATAGGATGATGGTGGTGACACTGATGATGATGATTGCCTTCGAGTCGACAACAACTCATAATGACCCTATGAACAAAAGGCCTGAAGCCCCTCTACAGCTATCAACATTTATCAATGTTCATAAAGTTTCCAGAGGCATGCTGTTTAGGAAGTGGATGCCACTCCTACTTCCAAACAGGAATAGGATAGAGACAAGAATAACATCCAAAGGACTTGAGCAAATTCCTAAATTCTGTAAAGAATCACAAATCATGTCTGCATGTGGAAGAACATTCAACATACTCTGCTGAAACCAGAGAATACCAAAAGAATGTCAATTTGACCCTTATTATTGACTATGCAAAGATGCTTGTGTAGATCATAACAGATTATAGCTAACATTGAGAAGGATGGGAATCTCAGAACACTTAGTTATGCTCATGCAAACCCTATATCAAGATTAAGAAGCTTTTGTTCCAACAGAGCAAGGGAAAATTGCATGATTTACAATTGAGAAAGGTGTGCATCAGGGCTGTATTCCATTCTCTATAGCTGTTCAGTCTTTATGCTGAGCAAATCATTCGAGAAGCTAGACTTTGTAAAGAAGAATGTGGCATCAGGATTGGAAGAAGATTCATCAGTAACCTGCATTATACAGTTGACGACTTGAAAAATTTTCTGCAAAAAATCAAGGATTACAGCCTTCTATTTGGATTACCTCTCAACATCAAGAAGGCAAAAAATCTTCACCACTGGATCAATAGGCAACATTATGATAGATGGAGAAAAGACTGAAGTTGTAAGCAAATTCATCTTAATTGAAACCACAATCAGTACCCTCAGTACCAGCATAAAGAAATCAAAAGATATGTTGCATTGGGAATATCTGCTCTCAAGGACTTCTCCAAGAAGCTAAGGAGCAACAATGTCCATTTAAGGACTAAGGTGCACCTGATTCAAGCCATGGTCTTTTCCATTGCCTCCTATACATCTGAAAGTTGAACAGTGAATAAGGATAACAGAAGAAGAATCAATGTTTTTGAGTTATGAGGTTGGAGAAGAGTACCTGATATCCCCTAGGCTGCAAAAAGAATAAACAAATATATCTTGGAGAAAGTGCAACCAGGGTACCCCTTACAGGCAAAGTATGTGAAACTTAATCTTACATGTTGTTAAGGAGGGGCCATTCTTTGGGAAAAGACCTCATGATGGGAAAGGTGGAGGGTCAGTAAAAGAGAACATGACAAGATGGATCAGATCAGCACAGTGACTGTAACAGAAGGCTCAAGTATATCAAAGATGGTGAGAATGGCACTGGATAAGCCGGGGCTCAGATCCAGTATTCATAGGGTTGCTATGAGTCTGTGTCCTCTTGACCCCTTCTAACAACTACAGTGTGGAAAAACAATGTTTCTCTTTTTTCTTCTCTGCTACTTCCATTTTCAACTTAAGTACAACCAGACCCCTCTCCCTTCATAAATACTTCAAGATGCTCTAAAATACTAACCTGAGTCCTCAGAGTTTTTCTTTCAGTTGCTTACAAGAAGAGCAGAATCTTGAAATAATAACCTCATGGTTTTCCCTTGCCTTCACTCTCAAAGGTGCAGGCCATAACCACTCACGTGGTTATGTCCCTTGGGTTAGGCAAGAGAGTTTATACCTTTCATAATAGTCACCAGTGTTCAATGATTTTGTACAGCTGATAGTAAATAAACCAAGTTCCTTTGACATTTTAAGTGTATACTCTTCATACTGTCACCTGTGGGCCAGTATGTATCTTGCTTAATTAGGGAGAAGCTGTGTTCAGACACACTTGTTCCCTTTACTTATTATATTCAATGATTTTCCTAGCCTTCAACTAATGGCACTTGTTTTACTAGCATAAAATTTCTGAAACCCACAATGCAGATCTAGAATTTTAGACACTGATTTTAATACTCCTTTAGACCTTTTGTCCAGAACAGATGAAGTTTTTCTTCTTGAGCAACAGTTATTTGCTATGTCACTATAGTATAACACCAATGGGATAGATTAAGTGTAGCAGTTAAGGTATGCGAATATGAAGTATTTATTCTGTAAAAACATTAAAAGTGTTTTAATGTCTAATCAGTGGGCAGACTTGAACCAGGCCAGAGTTTTCATAAAATGCTTTGCAAAAGAACAGTTACCATTATTGGCCTCATTTTTGTAAAGTCTCATTTCAAGTAAAAAATACTATAGATTTGCCAACTTTAAAAAAAGATTAATAAAAAAAATCTATAAAAGATTAATAATGTTTCTCACTTTAGGAAGAAATCTAATCTAAAATGTTGTAGGAATTGTTTTTAAAAGGGGGGAAAAACCCAAAACATTTTCCCTACTGTCAGATGAGATGGAGAGCTGTGGTGGCACTGTGGTTGAGTGTTTGGCTGCTAACCAGTCAGCCAGCCAGCAATTTGAACCCATCTGCTCCGTAAGAGAAAAATGAGGCAACCTTCTTCCCAGGGGGTCACTAGCTTTGGAAACCCTGTGACAGTTCTGCTCATCTTACAGGGCTGCTGTCAATTAGAAAGAATGAACTCACTGATATTGGGTTTTATTTGTGTTTACTAACTGAGGTAAATGAAGGTGGTTTATAACCTCTGAAGCACAATGCATTTATTCACTGTCATTCTTGATGTTTACCCTGAAATGACCTCATAAAGTGCTTTTATCCTCCTTACTTTCTACTAAGACAATTATATTTTCTCACCAGGTTGCAAATCTCACCTAACAAGTCAGCTTCCCGCCTCCAAATATACCCACTTCCTTCACTCGGAAAGGCAGCTATACGTAGGGAATTTCTGAATGTTTCCTCCACTACTTTGCTCAACTGTACTTTCTCTTGTTTTTACAGTTCTGAATGACATCATCTCTACCATGTTCAATAGAAAGTTCATGGAAGAATTGTTCAAACCCCAAGAGCTCTATTCCAAGAAGGCCTTAAGAACCGTGTATGACCGCCTGGCTCATGCTTCCATTATGAGACTGAACCAGGCCAGCATGGATAAGGTGAGCAGGCAGCTTTCTCTGCTCTTTTTGTTATATTTCTTGTACCTTTTGTGGGCAGTTATAGACTGGGGTCAAATGAGATGACATAAGCAGTAATACTTTGTTCAAAACAAGTACTTGTCAATGTTACTTGTGGAATTCAGAGTTGGGAAAGACTTCAGATGTCACCACATTAGCCTGCCTGATGGTTATGTCATCCCCCCTGCCTGTACCACTTATTTCAGGACTCCATTTTTGAATGCTGAAAACATATGTCTTAGCCCAATACCAGAACTTGGCATTGTCTTTCTTAACAAATCTCAGCTCTCCAGTGAGGAATGGTTTTATAGGAAACTAAGCATTTTTTTAAAATTTTTATTATTTTTGTGTGAGTGTACCGTCAAATCAGATCTCACTGGTACAGGAGGAAATTGTCCCTCCTTCCCCGGCAGAGCATCTGGTGGATTCGAACCGTGCGCCTCTGGGATTGTAGTTGCAGGTCCTTGCCACTAGGCCACCAGAGCGCCCCGAAACTAAGCATTTTTAACAGCAAATTCAAAACCATTGAGTCTTTATTTGTAACAAAGAGATATCTCTCTCTTCAGAAAACAAATTATTGTGGTACTCAGATTTTAAAAATAATAATTCCAAATAAATAAATTGAATAGGCAAATCGGTGCATAAAAATTCCAAATAATGAATATAGATATTCCACCCTCAGGGAGGTGTGGGCTACATCAAATGCGCAGTCTGAAAAGAAGGGGGGAAAACAGTAACTTTACAGGGGAAACATTACAGACACTAACTACTACAGCCAGATGATCAAAGTCAACATCAATTGTGGTAAGTCATGTTGATACTATGTACCCTGACATGATACGGTGAGAATGGCACTTTACTTCTTTGGCCTGTCCTTTCCAAATCCCATAATCCCTTTTCTGATGAGAAGAGCATCAGATAATTCCCAGCTGAGGGTCATAATAGAAAATATCTGAACAATAGTTCTCAAAACTGTCAAGTCATCCAAGATGGGAAAAGGCTGAGAAAATGTCTGCTTAACCAAGAGGAGCCTAATGAGTCTTGTCAACTAAATGTACTGTGATCTCCTGGATGAAATCCTGGGCCAGAAAAAAGATACAAGGTTAAAAACGAAGGAAATCCGAATCAAGTATGGACTTTAGTTAATAATTCTTTTCAAATTCCCCTCTCATGTGCCTTTTCTTTTTAAATCATGAGGACTGACTATAAATGCATAATAAATACTCACTATTGCAGATACTGAGGTAAAGATTTCAAATAAACATAATTAAATGTTCTAGAATTCCCATTCTTTTCAGTGTTAGTAATAGTTTGTTATAATACCCACAGATGCCTTTGCATAGTCAATAAAACACAAATAGACATTTTTCTGGTAGTCTCTCCTATAAGCTAAAATCCATCTGACATCAGCAATGACATCCCTAGCACCCCAGCCTCTTCTAAATCCGTCTTGAACTTCTGGCAGGTCTCTTATCAATGTACTGGTCTAGCCATTCAGGCACGATCTACAGGAATATTTTGCTTGCATTTTGTTTGATAGTTTCCACATTCTGTTGGATCACCTTTCTTGGGAATGGGAACAAATAGGAATCTCTTCTCGTCAATTGGCCAGGTAGCTGTCTTCCAAATTTCCTGGCACAAACTGGTGAGCACGTCCAGGTCTGCATCTGTTAGTTGAAACATGTTAATATGTTTCTCATTGATTCCTGAAGTCTTATTTTTTGCCAATGCCTTCAGTGCATTGTTAACTTCTCCCCTCATCACCATTGTCCCTTTATTATATGCTACTTCTGAAATTTTTCCAGCCAGTTCTTTTTTTTAATTAATTTTAATGAAATTTTACAGAGACTGGATTTCCGTACATTCATTGTTGTACTTTTCTTCCTGCCCAACCTCCCCTCCAGTTTGCTCTTTGAAAAGTAAAATTCTCTCATTGTTATACAGTCTCTCCTCCCAAGTCCACTCCTCTATGCAGCCTTCATCTTGAAAAGTAAAAGAAAAACTCTTTCATTGTTATACAATCCCTCCCTCAAGTTCACTCCTCTATGCAGCCTTTGTTCTAGACTCCTGTCATAACAATAATACCTAATCATGTATCCCTTTTAAACAGTTCTCTCCCTCATCTGTTTCAGTGTAGTATGCATAATTAATCTCATCTTTCTCAGTTTCCCCCCAACCCTGATGTTAGTCCCATTTTACACCAGTGGCACTACGCAGTATTTGTCCTTTTGCGACTGAGATAATTCACTCAGCATAATGTCCTCCAGGTTCACCCATTTTGAATAATATTTCATGAGTTCCTTGTTTTCCAATGCTGCTGCATAGTATTCCATTGTGTGAATATATACCACAGCTTTTATGTCCATTCTTTTGTTGATGGGCGCTTGGGTTGTTTCTGACTCTTTGCTATTGTGAACAAAGCCACGATAAACATGGATGTGCATCAGCCAGTTCTTTTTGTACAGTCATTCTGTGTATTCCCTGAATCTTCTGATGCTTTCTGGATCATTCAAGGTTTTTCTCATAGCATCTCTCAATATTGCAGCTTGAGACTTGAATTTGTTTTCCCGTTCTTTCACTTTGGGAAACACCAAGCAAATTCTTCCTTTTTAATTTTCCAGCCCTCTGTACATTCCATTATAATACTTTGTCTTCTTGAGCTGCCCTTTGAAATCTTCTGTTCATCTCTTTTACTTCAGCATCTCTCCCCTTTGTTTTGGGTTTTGTTATTTTACATATCCTTTTTTATTAAATTTTGTTATTTGTTATTGTTATGTGCCATCGAGTTGCCTACAACTCATAGCAACCTTATGTACAGCAGCTCTGTCTCACTGACTCCAACACACCTAATACCATTGCCCCAGTCACTGTATCAATCCATCTCATCCAGGGTCTTCCTCTCCTGCAATATCGCTCCAACCTTCCAAGCATGATGTCCTTTTCCAAGGACTTATCCCTCCTGGCCATGTGCCCAAACTATGTGACACAGAGCTTCAAAATCCTTGCCTCCAAGGACAAACTTGGTTTTACCCTTCCTAGGACAGACCTGTTTGTTCTCCTGGCATTCCATGGTATGTTCAGTACGCTTCTCCAGCACAACTCAAAGGCATCAATTCTTCTTCTGTCATCTTTAGTCATTATCCAGTGCTTTGATGCATTGCAAATAATTTAGAAGACCATGGCCTGGATCAGGTGTACCATAGTCTCTAGACTGACATTATTGCTCCTCAGCACTTTGGACAGCATACTTCCCCAGTGCAATTCATCTTTAGATTTCTTGACTACTGTTGCTATAAGTGTTGATTGTGGAGCTGAGCAAGCTGAAATTGTTAACAACTTCAGTCTCTTTTTTTTCATTCATCATGGTGCTTCCAATTGGCCCAGTGGTGAGAATCTGTGTCTTCTTGATATTAAGCTTTAATTTTGAAGACTGCAATCCTTAACCTTCTGCAAAAAAATGCTTCAGGTCCTCCTTAGTTTCAGCAAATAAGGTCGTGTCATCTGCATAACCCAAGTTGTTGAGGAGTTTCAATTCTGGTGCCACACTCTTCTTCATAAAGTCTAGGCTCTCAAATGATCTCTTACGCATAGATTAAAAATGTATGGAGACAGGACACATCCCTGACACACTCCCTTCCTGATTTTGAACCATGCAGTTTTTCTGTGCTCTGTTCTGATGACTTCCTTCTGGTCCACGTACAGGTTTTGCTTGAGCACAATTAAATGTTCCAGGATTCACATTCTTCTCAAGATTAGCCCCAATTTTTTGTTATCCACACAGTTAAATGCCTTTGCTTAGTCAATAAAACACAGACATTCCTCTATTACTCTTTGCTTTCAGCCAAGATCTATCTGACATTAGTGATCATGTCTCTAGTGCCATGGCCTTTTCTAAAACCTGCTTGTATTTCTGGTAGTTCTCTGTCAGTAGTCATTTTTGGATAATCTTCAGCAGGATTTTGCTTGTGTGGGTATTAGGAATGTTGCTATGTGCGGTCAGGTCACCTGTGACTCATAGCGATCCTGTGTACAACAGCTCTGAATCCTGCTCTATCCTAAGCTAACCTTATTGTCTGTGACACACTTACCCCCATTACCTCAGTCACTGAAGCATGAGATATTGGTGATAATGGAGTTTTTGTTTACATATTCCTTTTTTTTATCTTTTTTTGTGTAATTTTTTTCTTTTGTTTCACATTTTCTTTTCTCCCTCCTCTCCATAGCCAACTAGCAATGCACTCTTTGTTCCAGATTGTCGTCATATGTAAAATCCCTAACCATATATTCTTTTCAAGACATTTTCCCTTCATCTGTTCAACTACGGTGTTTGTTATCTATCCACTCTTTTCCCATTCTCTGCCCACCCCACCCCCACCTTTCTTATTTTATAAGAGGTGTTACACTCTATTTGTCCTTTTGTGACTGAGATATTTCACTCATTATAATGTTCTCCAGGCTCCCCCGTGTTGTGTAAAGCTTGTGAGTATACCATAGTTTGTCTAAATATTCGTTTGTTGTTGAGATTTGGGTTGCTTCCACTTCTTTGCTGCTGTGAATCACGCAGCATCCATTTTGGTCTTTTCTTGATCTCTACCCTTTCTCCATACCTATTCAGTATGTACGTTCAGCAAATCATTACAGAAGCTGGATTTTTTTAGAGTGTGTGGCATCAGGATTGGAGATTAATCACAGCATTCATTGATGAGTCAACCTTGCTTGCTGAAAGCAAGGAGGACTGCGCTTGCTGCAGAGGATCAAGGACTGCTTCTATGTTGATTACATCTCAACATTAAGTAAACAAAAATAGTTCTTAACCAATTGGCAAAATCATGATAAATGGAGAAAAAAATTGAAATTGTCACAAATTTCGTCTTGCTTCAATCCACAGTCACCACTCACCACCCTTGGTAATAGCAGTCGTTGAGATCAGGAGGCATTGCATGGGCAAAGTCTGCTGTCAGAGCTCTCTTCAAAGTCTAGAAGAGTAGTGATGTCAGTTTAAAGACTAAGGTGAATCTGACTCAAGCCTCAGTCCTTCCAGTCATTGGCTATGCATTTGAGAGCTGGACAGTGCATAAAGATGTCAGGAGAAGAATTGAAGCATTTGAATTGTGGTGTTGGAGAAGAGTGCTGAATACCCCATGGACTGCCAAAACACAAATAGATATGTCTTAGAGAAAGTGCAACCAGAGTGCTTCTTGGAGGCAAAGATTGCAAAGCTTCATCTCATGTATTTTGGATTTGTTGTTAGGAGAGGCTATTCCTTGAAAGGGGAAATAGTACTTAGAATGGTGGAGGGTCAGTGAAGAGGAAGACTCTCAATGAGATGAATTGGTCTGTGGCAGTGGGCTCAAGTGTGTTGGAGATGATAAGAATTGTGCAGGATACCACAGGGTTCAGATCTGTTGTTCATAGGATTACTGTGAGTAGTATTCGACTCAGTGGCACTTAACAACATTCATATACCTGAACTGAGAAGCTGCTGTCCAAACAGAGCACTGCATGGTTTAAATTGAGAAAGGAATATGTCAGAGCTGTATCCTTTCTCCATACCTATTTAGTCTTTATGATGAGCAAATCATTGAAGAAGGTGAGAAATCCTCAAAGAGATGGATTGATAGATACAGTAACTGTAACAGTGTACTCAAACACATCAGAGATGATGAGGATGGCACAAGAGAGGGCACGGTGCTGACCTTTTATTCATAGGGTTACATTGAGTCATAGCCCACTCAGTGGCACCTAACAACAGCCAACAACAGCCTATCTTCCTACCTAAGTTCAAGTCACACCCTTACTAGTTACTGGCTGTGAGACGCTGAATAATATACTGAATATCTCAACTATCATTTCTTTATCTTATACCTGGTTTTATGCTTTATTTGTAACAGAGCATCCTATTCATTATAGTTACTTAATGTTTGATAATTATGGTAGACTCTCAAATCTGTCTTTCCCATTAACTATACCCACTCCCCACATGCCCCTGGCATCCCACACCCTTAATACCTCCACATTCTCACATGGGGCTTCTCCCATTGTATGGCCTTTCTAAGAGGAAATGTTTACCTGAAGGTTGGAGAAATCAGACTGTGTAGAAAATTTTAACAAGCTATCTAGAATCTAATTGTCTGTGTTCATACCTTACCTTCCCACTTACAACCTTATGAAATTGGTCAGAGTTCCTTATTTTAGACCTTGGGATAATAATGTCAACCTCATAGAATTTTTGGTGAAGATTAAATGGGACGAAATTAGATATTGTGAAAATGTGCGTGGTACACTCAGATGAGAGTAGTTTGTATTTTTCACTCCTACCTCAGACATGTTCATAACTCAGCCGCTCATCTCTCCTGACCCAGCTCCTATATCCCCTGGACTTCTGCTTCCATTAGAAGCCTCTTCCTTTTCCAGGCTCAGCTGAATATGCTGTGATCATTTTGGATGGCCCTCATCTTCATCCCCTAAATCTAGTCAGGCAGTCATTGTGTGCTGACACTTCCTTCCTAATAGTGCATGAGCTCTTTCAGTCGTCATTCCCCAATTTTCCATCTTGTTTAATCGCCACTTTTAGCATATCAACTCAGTAGCTTCAGTATTTCCCTCCTTCTTCCTCCATCTATTTTGCCTTTCTTTCTAAAATCTTCTAATATTCTAACCTCACCATTCTAAACTAGGCATTTCTGACACAAACTGTCCTCTTTAATCAGGCTGTTTGCATTCTCTCAGAAAAAATAGGATCCTGCCTCCAGGCCCTTATCCAGGCTGTTCCTCTTAACTGAAATGCCTTTTCTCTCCCCTAAGCTGTTTTTAACCTTATAAATACTTCCAGGTTCACATCAAGCTCACTTCTTTCACAGAGGCTTTGTCGACCACTTTAGTCCTCACCAGTTTCTCTCATAGGTTGTTAAACCATACCTAGGGCTTATTTGTAACTTATTAATAACGGCCAACATTTTAACTTGTCCTTATATGTTTGTGGAGCATTATACTTGACACTTTCACCCATATTGTCATTAACTCTTCTCAGCAATTCTACAAGACTGGAAAATTGGAGAGCATTGTTTACAGAAGAGAAAACTCTGGCCCATAGAAGTCCAAAGACTTGATCCAGGTCATATAAGCCAGCAGCAAGGGTAGAACTTGAATTCTGGTTTCCAGTCTCCCAGGACCTCATTGCTGACAATATTGTATCATATATGTCCCATCAGCAATCTATGTAAGGTGACCAAAAGTCCTGATTTTTCTAGGAATGCCCCAGCTTATACATCCTATCCCAGCTTCATTAATCTCGCTCCCCTTTGTTGTCAGTGTGTCTTAGTTTTGGTGATAACTTATATGGTCACTAACGTTTTATGTTTAGACCGCTTGGCTGTCAGGAGTTGCTTGACTGACTCCTTGGAGGTTCTGACATCTGCTTTTACAGATTTGTTCATTTGTTGTGTGGTTTGACAGCTCTATGACCTGATGACTATGGCTTTCAAATATCAAGTATTGCTGTGTCCTCGTCCCAAGGATGTGCTGCTGGTTACTTTCAATCATTTAGATGCCATCAAGGAATTCATCCAAGACTCCCCAACTATCCTGAATCAAGTGGATGAGACTTTCCGGCTGCTGATTGACGTAAGATTATCAGTTAGTTACTTCTCAACCCCAATGTGTGTTCTCATTGATCTGTTAAGAACAGGTAGATTCTATGTCTGACAGAAAAGGGTGAACAATGGCAAATCCTGTCAGTCTTTCAGAACATTCTAAAAATCCACAAGAGTCTATCCCAAATGAGTAATATAATAGGCATTCTCATCTTACACCCTCTTCCTATTGCCTTCAAACCTAGGAAAGCAGTAGTTTAAAGCATTGCCATTTCTCCTGACTTTCCTGGAAGGGAGTTGGCAGGGGATAGTCTGTTAAATATTTGTGAACAACCTCTCTAGGCTTGTGAGGAAGTAGGAGAGGTTCTGTGTATCCCTGCTCAGGGCTGGCAGAATGGCCTGTCCCTCTGAGGGAGCAGAGCTGATTCTCCCTCTGACCCACTTGTCCCAGGACCTGAACGCCATCTTTGTTTGTCTAGCTCCTTGAGTGCCTGCCTGTCCCTGCTTCTCATCTCACTTCTGAAAATGAAGTGCTTCTTGCTGCTTTGCCTTTGGCAGGTGTATGGGAGTCTCTCTGCTGGGGAGTTCCAGCTGATCCGGCAGACGCTCCTTACCTTCTTCCAGGACCTGCACATTCGAGTAAGTGAATGCCTCCCTTCACACACTCCCTCCAGCCTCAGGTACATGCTGCCCTGCAGACCCTGTGCTAGGAGGACATGCACACTGTCAGGGAAGACAAGGACTGAGTTTTGTCCTGGTGAGGAATGTCCTCCATGTTTGACTCCACAATAATAATTCCTGATCACAAACCCCAGAGGTGGTGGTTTTTAACATTTATTGTTAATCTGACTAAAATTTTATACAGCACATTGGTTTTCCATTCAGTAGTTTATAGACTATTGTTTTGTTTTATGGCATTGACTGGAAAAATCCTCAACAGTTTTCAAATGGACAAAAGAAAACAAAAAGTTTCCCCAATGCAGTGGATTAAGCTTTGGGCTACTAAACAGAAGGTTGGCAGTGTGAATCCAGTTGCCAGTCTAAGGGAAAAAGATGAGGCAGTCTGCTTCTGTAAAGATTTACAGCCCAGGGTCTGAAGTCAGACCCTCATGTGTGTAAATCCCAACATCAGCACTAGCTCCCGGACCTTCTAATACACTATTAAATGTCTCTTGAGCCTTAATTTCTCATCTGCAAATAGAAATTATAATACCTCATTTAAAACATACTGTGAAGATGCAGATGATTCCCAATTTATAGGTATGTTCCATTCTTACAGCTCCTTTATAAGTTGGCTCTGATAAAATACTTTTTCATTCTCATTGTTTTTGCTTTTTATTATCAGTGGCCTTATAAATCCTCTATCTTTGAAAGTTGGAAAGTTTACATATTACATATAGACTTATGCAATATATGTTGCTAAGAATAAAATGTACAAAAGAAAAAATTATTTCCTTTCTGTGTTACCCAGAGAAGAGTCTATACAGTGTTGTTCTGGTTCCCATTATAACTTAAAGGGGAAACTTCCACAATGTCCAGAACCCTGATGTCTTGCAGATGAAGGAGGGGGATGTCCTCAAATTCCTTGCAGCGGGATTGCACTTGGGTGGCACCAGTCTTGACTTCCAAATGGAACAGTGCATCTACAAAAGGAAAAGTGATGGCATCTATGTCATAAATCTGAAGAGTACCTGGGAGAAGCTTCTGTTGCCTGCTCAGGCCGTTGTTGCCATTGAAAATCCAGCTAATGTCATTGTCATATCCCCTGAAATACTGTCCAGAGAGCTGTGCTGAAGTTTGCTCCTGCTACTGGCGCAACTCCTATTGCCAGGTGCTTCACTCCTGGATCCTTCACTAACCATACAGATAGGCTTCCAGAAGCCTCCACTTCTGGTGGTTACTGATCCCAGGGCCAACCACCAGCTTCTGACAGAGACGTCTTACATTAACTTGCCCACCATTGCCCTGGGTAACACAGATTCTCCTCTGTGTTACACGGACGTTGCTCTCCCATGCAACAAGGAAGTTCACTTCAAGTGTGGATGCTGGCCCGGGAACTCCTGCACATGCATGCATGGCACAACCTCCCAGAAGCACCCTTGAGAGGTCATGCTTGACTGTACCTCTCCAGAGATCCAGAAAAGATTGAAAAGGGAGATCAGGCCACTGCTGAAAGGGCTGTAACCAGGTAGGAGTTTCAGGGAGAATGAATGGCTCTTTACTGCTGCTCAGCCTGAGGTCTGGGACTGGTCTGAAGGCATGCAGCTGCCCACTGTGCCTGTTCATCAGTTCCCTACTGAAGACTGGAGTGCTCAGCTTGCAACTGAAAAAGACTGGTCTGCAGCCCCCACTGATGAGGCTCCTGAGTGGGCTGGAGCAACAACCAAGTGGTCCTTAACGGTCTTTTCAGTCTTTTAAAAAATGCAAATAAAGTTGGTGGAAAATAAGCAATATAGTTCTTTTAAAAAAGATTATTTTGAACACAGATCATAACTCAACTATGTCATAAATCAGAGACTGTGCTCACAGTGGTTGCCTCCTTGGAATGGGAACTATAAGGAAGACAAGGATAGTAGGACTTTCTAGTGTATACTCTTGAATTTTGTACTTGTATAACTACAACATATTTTTTTAAATAAAGATTAAAGGAAAAAGAAATTCAATATGTATATAGGGGCCTGATTGTTGATTTATCTTCAAGGACCAAGGAAGCAAAATAGATTTGATCTCTGAAACCTATTTTGTTTTTAACTCTTCATGAACTATTTTATTTGCCATGAATGGAGCAATAATAATAGCAACATAAATGAAGATTTCTAATTGTTGTTATGTGCCTTCTTGTCAATTACAACTCATAAGAACCCTATAAACAATAGCTCTGAACCCTGCCCTATCCTGAGCCAAACTCACTGTCTCTGACAGTGTGGTAGCCATCACACAGTCACTTTGTCAGTTCATCTCATGCAGGGTCTTCCTCCCCTGCACTGTACCCTCCATCCTTCCAAGCATGATGTTCTTCTCCAAGGACTGGTTCCCTCCTGGCAACATGTCCAATGTATATGAAACAGAATGTTGAAATTCTTGCCTTCAGGGAGCAGCCTGGTTTTTGCTCTCTCCAGGAAAGTTCTGCTTATTCTCATCTTAGCAGTCCATAGTATGTTCAGCACTCTTTTCCAGCACCATAACTCACAGGCATTGATTTCTTCTTCTGTCATCCTTAGTCATTGTCCAGTGCTCTGATGCATAACAAGTAATTGTGAAGACCATGGTTGGAACAGGAGCACCTTGGTCTCTAGACTGACATTGTTTCTCTTTAGCACTGTGGAGAGATCTCTGACAGCAGACTTTCACAATGCAACTTGTCTTTTGGTTTCCTGACTGCTGGTACCAAGAATATTGATTGTGGATCTGAGCAAGATGAAACTGTTAACAGTCTTTAATCTGTTCTCTATCAATCATGATGCTGCCAGTTGGCCCAGTGGTGAGAATCTTTGTTTTCTTAATATTGAGCTGAAACCCCTATTAAAACTAGAGCCCTTAGGGGAGCTCTGGTGGCCTAGTGGCAAGGAGCTGCAACTACAATCCCAGAGGCGAACGGTTCAAATCCACCAGATGCTTTGCCGGGGAAGGAGGGACAATCTCCTCCTGTACCAGTCAGATCTGATTTGACGGTACACGCACACAAAAATAATAAAATAAAAAACCAACCAACCAAAAAAAAAACACTAGAGCCCTTGACCTTCTGCAGCAAACAGTTCAGGTCCTCCTCAGTTTTGATAAGCAAGGTTGTGTCATCTGCATAATTCAGATTGTTGATGAATCTTCCTCCAGTTCTGATGCTACATTCCTCCTCAGAAAGTCCAGCCTCTCAAATGATCTGTTCTGCATATAGATTGAAAAGGTATGGAGAGAGTGGAACTATGGAAGCTGTGGATATCCAAGATAACCTGCTGGGAATCTCATGGGTTGACAGTGCCTGGATCCCCATTTTGAACACTGGTAGTGTCCTGGACTACTTTTCAGAAAGAAGCAACCCTTTCTATGACAGGACATGCAACAATGAAGTAGTCAAAATGCAGAGACTAACATTAGAACAATTGAATCAGATGATTGAAGTGGAATACATCCTTCTTCATGCTCAAGAACCAATTCTTTTTATTATTTGTAAGCAGCAACGGCAGTCACCTACTCAAGTTATCCCTCTAGCTGATTATTACATCATTGCTGGAGTGATTTATCAGGCACCAGACTTGGGCTCAGTTATAAATTCCAGAGTGCTTACTGCAATGCATGGCATTCAGTCAGCTTTTGATGAAGCTATGTCATACTGTCGATATCATCCCTCCAAAAGATATTGGTGGGATTTCAAGGATCGTGAAGAGCAAGATAACGTCAAACCTAAAGTCAAGAGGAAAGAAGAACCAAGCTCTGTTTTCCAGAGACAGCTTGTGGACACCTTACTTTTAGATCTCAGACAAAAATTTCCACCTAAATTTGTACAGTAAAAGTCTGGAGAAAAACCTGTCACAGTGGATCAAAGAAAGATCTAGAACCTTTACCGGAAGCTGTCAAATCTGATGAGAAAGAGACTACAAAGCACACCCAACAGACATTAAGTGCAAAAGGCCCCCCTGAGAAATGGATGAGACTCCAGTGAGTTTTAGAAGAGAAGCTATCAAGACTTGTCTACTACCTTACCTCATTTCTGTGGCAAGCTCATAAACTTTTAAGTTTTGACATGTTTTTTAAACAGCTTTAACCATTGTATTATTTGTTTCGTTTGTGAACATTTCTTGTGTATCTTTCTGTAATCTTTAGTCTGTTGGAGTTGTTCAGCCTGCCCCACTTACATGTACCATATTATATGTGTGTGTAAAAACACAATAAAGTTTTTGCATATAAAAAAAAAGAAAACGTATGGAGAAAAGACATATCCCTGAGGCACTTCTTTTTCAATTTTGAACCATACAGTGTTTCCTTGCTCTGTTGACAACTGCTTCCTGGTCTAAGTACAGGTTTTGCTTGAGCACAATCAAGTGTTCTGGGGTTTCCTTTCTTCTCAAGATATGCCACAATTTGTAGTGCTCCACAGTCAAATGCCTTTACATAGCCAATAATATACAAATAAACATTCTGCTGGTACTCTTTGCTTTCAGTCAAGATCCAATTGACATTGGTAATGATATCCCTAGTGTCATAGCTTCCTCTAAATCCTGCTTGTATTTCTGGAAGTTCTCTGTTGATCCAGTCATTTATTATAACCCTCAGCAAAACTTTGCTTGCAAGTGATATTAGTGGTATTATTCAATAATGGCCACATTCTGTTGTATTATATTTTTGAGGGGCATAAATATGGATCTCTGCCAGTCAGTTGACCAGATAGCTGCCCTACAGATTTCTTGGCACAACTTGATGAGTGTGTCTAGGGCTGCATCTGTTGAAATATGTCAATTGGTATCCCATCACTTCCCAGGTCCTTATTTTTTGCCACTTTGTTCAGAGCAACATGACCTTCTCCTTCATGACCAGTGTCTCTTGGTCATATGTTGTTTCTTGAAATTCTTCTGTGTCAGCCATTTCTTTTTGCTACAGTGACTCTGTGTACTCCTTCCATCTTCATTTAATGCTTCCTGGATCAT